GGGCCGAAGGCCCGTCCCAAACGCCGCCGGCAGGCCAAGCTGGGCCCGCTCCCTGCCGAACCGAGTTGCCGGTGGAGCGAAGCGGAGCTGGCAACTTGGTTTGGCGGAAGAGCGGGCCCAGCTTGTTTCTATTAGGGATGGTCTATTACGACTGTTCTTGCACGATATTTGTGCACTGTTTTATTCGCTGAACCAAAGATTCAGAATTACTAACCGTATTAGCGGTGTTTGCGGTTGTCGGTCAGACTGAAATGAACACAGATTATGCTTAAATGTTGAGATTTATTGTATTTCAGGGTAATCCTATGCAATATTCCCAAAACAAAACGAAAAATTACAAAAAAATCTGTAAAACTTCTGAAAAATTACATTTTGTGCTTTCCAGGTTGCCTACCTACTCCTTCACAGGGACCCCCGTGGGTGAAAAAAGTGCATGAAGTGTCATAAAAATCGAAAATAAGAAGTTGTGTACACAAAACCGCAGTCTTTTCACAGTTAAAACAGCGGAATAGTACCTAGGCGTCAAAATGACCCCTCCGGTAGATCTAGGTATACGAAAATCCCGGTAGTTCTAGTGTTACCCATGGTAGAAAAGACCCATATGATTTTTGGGTCCGGTCCCAAATGTAATGGGCCGGTGCCATGAATATGGGACCGTTAATGGGTTCCGACCCCAAATTTTGGGGTCCTGGGTTGGGTCCGGCCCTAAAGGCATGGGTCCTGCATTGGGTCCGGCCCCAAACGGATGGGTCTTGCGTTGGGTCTGGCCCCATAGGGATGGGTCCTGCGTTGGGTCCGCACCCTATAGGGATGGGTCCTGGATAGGGTCCGACCCCAGGCAGATGGGTCCTACGTTGGGTCTAGACCCAAACTGATGGGTATGGTGTCGGGCCACGTGGACTTCAAGTGTTTTTGTCGTGGACACAATTGCCGTCCAAATGGTGTATCCAACATCCATGGTTACGAGGTTAACTAACATTCCAACATTTTAGTGTCACGGCATTTCAAGAAGTTACATTACTTAAGCTACACGCGCTTGTGTCCAACTCCCCTGTTGCAAACATCGCACTCAAAGGGAGTCGTAATGTCCTACGCGAAGGGTACTACAGAGGTGTTCGAAAATATCAAGTGTTCAAAGTGCCGCCAGCTGAACCAGGCTGCATTGCCAGCTCCACGTCACGCTCTCCGCAATACGTGGAAATCCCGGTGCGCCGGGGACACGCCGCTTCCTCCGCGCGATCCTGGCCGACCCCTGGGCGGGGGGAAGGGAGGGGCTGGGGATGGCCCGGGCCTACCTGCGCCGCCCTGGATGGATGCGACCCGGGCCTCTCAGGTCAGTC